GGGGGGGGGAGCAGCAGTAACGGTAAGAGCGGAGCGGCGTGTAGGCCGTCCCACCATCACGTGTTCACCTGTCTCGTCTTTCCCTCAGGTGAAAACTGTACTAACGGGGTCAGTTGAGATCCATATGTGGCTTGACGTAAAGAAGAAAAGAAGAAAGTAAAGAAAGTGTGTGTGTTGTGGATTGTTGGCGCCAAAAACTTTCAAATACTTTGAATTTGGAAATCATGAGTCAGTTCATGATTGTCTTGTATTTGCCAATAACTATTGTAGAGTGTAACGGAGTCATTTGTAATGATCCATGCGGCTTGACGTAAAGAAGAAAGTAAGAAAGTGTGGGTATTGTGGAGTGTGTTGGCGCCAAAACTTCAGATATTTTGAATGCAGACAGATTGACATTTGCAACTAAACTTTTTAACATACTATTTTAAGTACAGTAGTTGCATCATTTTTCGCAAAAAGCTGCGCGAGGTCCCGAATTTCTATGGTAGGCATCCTTCCAACTAGAAACCTTTCTACACTCTACCAAAAACAGCACAACCGTAATACATGTAACTTGGCTGATGCGCATACAGTAGTATTTACAGGTCTGACCAGGGAGCTGTCTGAACCCTAAAGGACATCACTGAAATGATGAATAAGATCAAATAAATGTAGAAAGAAGTGTGTAATTCCAATGCTCTTACTTCGATGCAAAACTTTAATAATATGTCTTAAGTTTGCCAACTTGATGCGATACGGATATTGCAGTCCGCAAAAGATTTACTTGGACATTTGATATACCAGTACATGTTATGGTATCTCCTCGTTGGAAATTGAAACCTCGAAAGTTGTATTAGCGCTGTTAATATGTTGTTGTTTGCCGGAGGATGTGGTCTCTAAAGAAAACAGATGAAGGTGTCAAAAACAGGATGGTTCTTGCGTCATGTCCTGCAAACAATATATGCCATGGTCATGTAGGTCAGCAGCCTGCAAAATCAGAAGCAACCGCTAGATGTCCCCACTGCTTGTCTGGTTACTAGTAACAGGTGCATGTGACAACTTTACCAAATGTCGCGAAGCTTTTTCGAGACCATGTCATGTCATTGTCAGTCATTCTAATCTTTTCTCTTTAAATCGCTCTAACATCCAATCATGAATGAAGAGTACAACAAAAATTCCTTGTTACCTCCGGGGAAGGAGATATCCTTCCGCGAGGAGGTTTTACTATGGTTCGAAACATTTCTGTCAGCAGCTGTTTCTCGCGATCGGCTGGACGGATTGGTCTGTTGTTCGGTATACGTATTGCTATTGGGCTGCAGATGATGCAGAACGTTTTTGTTTAATTGCATATGTGTTTATGGGCGTCGAAATAAAATGTTTTTAAGTGCTCCGGACACCCCCGCCATGCTGAAAATGGAATTTACCATGTTGTTAAGGAATGGGGAGGTTGCAGTTTTGGGTCTTAGCATTTAAAAGGGGTCAAACAGAGGGGTGTCTGGTTCCGATAAAAAATTTGGGTGACGGCGCAGCAATGACTGCGGGGGTAATGGCGCGGGTGACGGTGCAGGCTGTCAGACACGTTAATCAACAGTCCATACCAAACCAACCGTCAGTAGCCATCAAACACATACAAACATATTACGCACATAACTTTCATACTACACACAAACAAATAACCTAAACCAATAGAATAAAAAAAACCCGGAGGTTTGAAATCTACGATTTTCCTTGTTTTTCATTTTGTTCATTCATCACGTGAAAACAACAACATCGATAACACAAAAATCGTCTAGCTCGCGAAAACAAGAAAATTACAAAATGCATGGCCATCCAACAGTTATATCTTCTTTTAATGATATATTCCGTACTGTTACATGTGCCAGAAAAAGTGCGTTAACTACATACGAGTGTTGTTTCATTTTTAACAGAAACATCAAGATCTCCGGTTTGATGCACAGAAAGTTAATTTTTTGTCCTGCCTAACGACAGAAAAGGAACGTTAAGTACATATCTTGCTTCATTTTTAACACTAACATCTCGCCGATGCACAGAAAGTTTTTATGTCCAGACTAAGACCTTTGTTTGGAGAGCCGGTAATAAGTGACTTATGGTGGCTAAACATGAACCGTGAACAAACTAAGGGCCGCAGACCGACATGGCGACGCGTGGGGAAGCGGTGCACGATGGCGGGAGGGTTCCGGACCCGACTAGCGACAAGTTTGAGTCCGAATCCGGTGAAGACACTCGTCAGGTAAAAACTATCAACCTCCAAGCAGATCCTAGGGTGGCAAAAGACAGTATCAAATTGACCAGGCAGTATCCATTGGCCAGAAAGGGCCCAAAACGCCACCCAAGGGCCAGTTGAAAAACTGTTACCTCCGGATCCTCGCTTCTACGAATCCTCTAGTCATAGCAATAGAGGGTGGCGTATTGGACCCTCTCTGGCCAATGGATAGTTTGCCAATTTGATACTGTCTTTTGCCACCCTAGGATCTGCTTGGAGATCCTCTAGTCATAGTAATAGAGGGTTTAGGAAGAGACCGGTGCTGACAGAAAAAAGTTTAGCGTTGTTTGTTTTGTGTGGGTAATATGTACACTTGTCACAGCTCTAATTGCTGCGGTTGGATAAGGCAATCTGTACCCTTCATGTAGACATAAAATTTGCTTAATTGCACAAAACAACTATATCTATGTGCAACATATATTTCGAGCACAACAACCATCCGTAACGTCGAACTTCAACGGGTCTCAAGGTATTATATTTATCGGAATTCTTGACACCAGTGTTCACATGTCAGTAGTACCTTCATGCCAGGTCCATGTGTTCCCTACGTAAACACAGATGATATCTCATATATTTTCCCATCTATGCACAGCTTTTCCCTTACTAAGGTTAAGTAGACCTATAATGACGTTGACAGGTATAAAGAATACAATAAAGTTCGAGGGGGCGTGGCCTGTCACATTGTACATTGCAAAATAGGCTTGCTTGTTCTTTTTTTTAACACAGAGCAAAATTCAGTCGAGAATCCAGAAGATCATCGGTCTGAAGAAGTACGCGAGAGACTACCGAGTTATCAAAACTGGCTGTCTGGTCCTGGCTTGGGTAGCAATGGTGAGAACAGCAGGAGAACAACTGGATATACATTTTCAAGAAGATCCTAGGGTGGCAAAAGACAAAATACAGCTTGGGTGGCGTGTTGGACCCTCTCCGGCCAATGGATACTGCCTGGCCAACTTGATACTGTCCTTTGCCACCCTAGAATCTGCTTGGAGATTAGATGAATCTCACATCTCAGCCTCATAATTAAGCATTCTCTTTATGCTACAATTTGAAATAATCGGCTAGCGTGGGGCAAATATCGTTTCCTGGACAGAAAATGCCCTGATATTGTGGTATGCCGATGTAATTCTGTTAACCGAACGGAAACATATGGTTTTTGCTCTGTTTCTTCTTCTTCTCCAAACCAATAAGGTCAATGACCAGAACCAGACGCCTGTCACCATGGTAACTAGTGTTGGGTTACATCATGTTGCAATTTTATAGTAGGAGGGGTCTAGACTCCTGTCTGACCATATATATGAATGTGTTTGAGTAAGAATTAAGAGAGCAGACCATATGCGAACATGCAAATGTTACCTTTCTAGTTAATTTGTTACCTTTCTAATCAATTCTCATCCCCCTCCCCAGGGCTTGTACCATCGTCTCCCGTCCCCCACCCTGATAGACCTGAAGGACCGTCTCGGCGTGAACTACGAGGAAATCTCGCGAGTTTTGCTCTGCCACACCATCGGCTACTTCCTCTCCAACATGGCGGCAGGGGTCGTCGTGGATCTGTACCCAGGTAAGTCGGTGACTGAGGTTAGATATCCAGGTAATAAGCTGTTGTTTTTTGCAAATTCATGCCCGAGCATGTCATCTAATAGCATACAGATATTGACAACAAAAATGTGGTGATATAAGACTATTTGCTAACATGAAGTTCTACGTGTACGATATACTTATCGAACCTACTATCTCTACTTAAATCTAATAACGTTGGTATACATACAGGGTAAAAAAAGTAAATATGCAATATGTGAACAGGTAATAGGAACAAGGTAACTGCTATACTATTCTATTCTATTCTTTTCTATTCTATTCTATTCTATTCTATTCTATTCTATTCTATTCTATTCTATTCTATTCTATTCTATTCTATTCTATTCTATTCTATTCTATTCTATTCTATTCTTGCCAAACACAGTTACTCAAGCAACTGGATATGATTTTGGAAATATGTACTCGGAGAGTACATTTCATTTATTTATTTTTATTTATTTATTTATTGCAATTCGCCACATCATGGGAGGCACGGTGGAACAGGTGGACCTAATTATAAGTACACCTTTTCAAGGCCACCATGCCGACAAATAAATAGACGGGGTCATAAAAATGCATCGAAATACAATACAGTGTTATACACATGGCATTATACTAGTAATTCAAATAAAACACAACATTGAGTAAACTCAACGGGGACTAGTAGCGCGGCAGATGGTACAGCCACAAGACAGCGCCCACGAACACGGCATATCCACACCGAAACATTGATCAAATCTATTAAGCATAGTCAACTGGCACTTTTCTTCTATTTCCTTCCCGTTCCGCTGCAGCTCTGGTGGACATGGTGATCGCCTCCTCCCTCCTGGCGGCGGCTGTCGGCTCCATCGGCACGCCCTGGTCCCGCTCCCTGGCGCTCACCGGCATCTGTCAGCTGCTCACCGGGTTCGGACACGGAGCCACTGACACAGGTAGGCATGCACTAGACGGGGATCGTGGGGCGTAATGGTTGTGTATAGATTGTTATACCATTTATACCACAGTAGTTACTTAAAAATAGCCTGGTATCTAGTCTGTAATTATATGCAAAACTCCTGTATATTATCATGTTAGCCATGCTCCATATATGTAACATCACGTGCACCTTTATGAAATAGTATAGTTTCGATACATAGAACTGATGATAAGCATTACTGTAGTAGACGCTAGAGTAGATATCAGCTAAATATGTAGTAACTCTGAAGGGCTTGCCATATATTGCACCTATTAGTAATACTGTAGTATTACAATTGTTGTGCAATAAAGTTTGACTTTGACTTTTATTCTTCCAGCTGGCACCGTGACGGTGCTCCAACTGTGGGGGGACAACTCCGCTCCCGCTCTCCACATCATCCACATGGGGTACCCTTTCATCGCGATCCTGGTCCCCTTCATGGCCCAACCTTTCCTCTCCCGGCGTCCCGAAGTCAACGGCACCGCCACGCCGCCTCCTCTCACTGTGGAGGAAGCCTGGAGAACGTCCAGGATCGAGCAGGCTTATCTTATACCGACTTTTGTCTCAGCTGCCGTCTGTGTCATCTTCTTGGCCTTCCATTTCTACTTCTCTCCGAAGTATCAGCCGGATCTTTCTCGCCCGGATTTTTTGGCTTGCTTCAAACCGAAGAAAAAACAACAACCAGATCCGGATTCAACAGATCCGGATTCTACTTATCCGGATTCTACAGGTCCGGATCCGGAACAACAACCGTTTTGGAGCCGTTTTTTCTCGTGCTGGAGTTCAAAGCTTTGCCTCTCCTTCAAGGAGCTCTTCTCACCTGACAGGTGCGTGAAGGGGGAACCTGTTCTCGGCTCTTTCTACGTCGTCATGCTGTTCCTGTTCTATCTGACGTACCTTGCCGGGGAGGCGTCGCTGTTTGAGTACCTGTTCGCCTACAGCGTGGAGAGCGGACTGTTTGACAAAGACGGCGCGACTCTGGTGTACTCCTGCTTCTGGGCATTCTTTCTCATCGGGCGAGGGTTCGGCGCGTTCGGCTCCCACTGGGTGCCGCTCGGTTTGCTCATAGGGTTGTCGATTTTCCTGCTCCAGATTGTTGGAATCGAGTACTCCGTGTGGGGGGTGAACGACAGCACGGTGTTCTGGGTTCTCACCTGCGCGGCCGGTTTTTGCTGTGGCCCGAATTTCCCCGCTTGCTCATCCTGGGCCAACCACTACTTAAACGTGACGGGAGTGATTGTGGTCGTCATGTTCGTCGGGGCGTCTTTCGGCGGCATGATTGGCACCTATGCTACCGGATACTTCTTCGAGTACGCCGGGATAGACTCGATGTTTCACGGTTATATCGGCTACGTGGCCATCACCATCCTGGTGTTCTCCACCATGCAGTTCTCCGTATCCGTCCTGTTTAAGGACAGGATGCAGAGGGCGGCAGAACAGGACCAGGAGGAGGAGGAACCGGAGGTTGAGGCAATCACCAAGGTCTAGAGTTATATAATCATGCCTTTTCAACATCACAGAGAACACCTTAGACTTCGTGCTGTGCCTGATAGCACGTCGGGCAGCAAGCTTCACTTCCAGGGGTCGAAATTAATTTTTGGCAATAGGTGCACTGGTGCACCCAACATAAAAAAAAACTGGGTGCACCAAAAAATGTTTGGGTGTACCATATAAAATAAGTAGAATGTCAGCAAAAATTAATTTTGTTTTATTTCTAAAGATAAGCAGTACAAGAATGATTTTATTATTTGATGTTAAGAATATGCTGTATACTACTATACGTTTAACATCTTGACTACGAATTCAAAATATTTGGGTGCACCAGGGCAACAAAGAAAAAAAATGGGTGCACAGCTCCAATTTTGGGTGCACTAAGGTGCACATGCACCCAGTATTTCTAGCACTGACTTCCTTTTATCAACCCGCTACGTAATGACTCAAATACCGTACTTCGAAGTTACTTAATAGACTGTTGCTAGTGCTAGCTTGAGCGTGTGTTTATACAAGCTGCCCCTATATTTGTATACTAGTATATGTATGGATAGCTTACTTATCAACTATTAACCCAGTGTGTACATTAAAAATCTTCATTCCTTCCTTTCTGCCTTCTTTTCTTCCCTTATTATAGTGTGTTATATTGTTACCACGTGTGACTCAGGGATAAGACATAGGCTGGGAGAATTTGAAGAACATGAAATATATTTGTCTATCCTGTTTATTGTCTTTTCTTCCGGCAGAATAAAGCCTCTAACTTTACACCATGTTCCGTCTATTCAGTCCTTGTTACAACATCACGGTTCTATTTTCAAAATATATCCTTAAGCTTTTTATGCCAGTTTTCTTTATGATCATTTCGTATACACACGCTCGATACATAGATATGATCACTCAAATCACCAGTAAATGCAACCAGCATATTTAACCAGCAGCCTTTGTAAAGTCTTTGCAGTTCGTACAACTTTCACAAGGTGACGCTGTGTAACAGTCTCGCCCACGAATGAATGACGTAGTCGAACGTGTGCTTCCGGGATTGGTCCACCTGGCCAGCTGGCATCAGCTTCAGGCGTCACGATGAAAATTTAATTTACCAAGCGAATTGTTCTCGCCTAGTAGTCTGCGTGCCATAACTTGTAGCACTCTTCCCTAGCAACTAGAGCTCGCGTTTTGCAATAATTTACCCCGTTTGAACATTCAGGATGGCAGCTAGGCTTGACTGTAGTGTGTTGTCGTGGCACATGTTGTTTGTTTTGATGGTGTTGTTTACCACCTGTGCCCGTGCACAACAAGACCAGAAGATCGGCAGTATCAAGTTCTCGGGACCAGACGTGAACAGCGAAGAGTCCGAGTCTATGCACATGCCGGACTATCTGAAGTGTGACGCCTGTAGGATTATTGCTTACAAGGTGAGGAGTCTTGTACATGTGTGCTATGTAGGTGTGTGGTCAAATGTGTTGTACAGGTAGGTGTAACAGGTGTGTTGTACAGGTGTTGTACAGGTAGGGTATATGATGTGGTGTGTTACGCCGAAAGGCGGTTATACCGGCTATACAGATACAGATACAGACAGATGATGTGTGTTGGTCATGTGTTGTACGGGTGTGTTGTACAGGTGTGTTGTACAGCAACGTGTATCAGATGTGTTGTACAGGTGTGTTGTATAGGTAGGTGTATCAAGTGTGTTGTGCAGATGTATGATCTTTCAGCAGGTATATTGAAATGAAGCACCAGGCTAGGTAAGAGTTAATTCCAAACATTTCACATTAGTCCTTATAAACATGTAACTTTTACTCATTTATCTTTACACATACATGGTATTAACTGGTGATGGCAGACATAGATACTAACTTACATATATTGTTTTTTCTTCAGTTTACAGAGAGGCTGGAGAAGGTAACCAAGAAGCGAACAAAGACCCTGAGTGAGTCGGAGATCATTGACACGTTTGAGGAGGTGTGCGAAGCATCCTGGGATGAGTGAGTATTATCTTAACCTGAATTACCGTGAAAGGCATGCCAGCAGAACGTACTGTGCCTGACTGAAACCCTATTTTTCTCGGTTTTCGTTTAAATCTACTAAAGATTGTGGTCTACTAATATTAAAATTTTAGTAGATCATACGAAAATCCCTGTACTTTTGTTGAGTCAATAAAGAATCTGTATTTGTTTTACAATTTTCTATCCTTGTTCAAGGTATCAAAAATACCTGAACCGGTTATGTCTGATGTATGAACGATATTTTGTTTCAGCTATGGCATTAAGGAGGTTGATGGTCTGAAGAGGCTGTCTGGTCCTGGTCTGGAGACTAAAGAGGTGCCTGGAGTCATGCAGGGGGGAGGCAAGTGGCCGTACAGGTGAGGAAACTCAAGTCTCAGTCAGGGATCCTCCAGCACTAGATTTTCTTGGCATTGATGCCTCCTTAGCAAATTCTACTGGCTGTGGATTTTATGTGCTTTTTTTCTTTCTTTCTTCCTTTTTCCCTTCCTTGCTTCCTTCTTTCCTTCCTTCCTTTCTACCTTCTTTCCTTCCTTCCTTCCTCCCTTTTAAATACATGTACATGTAATTGTTAATCAATGTTCAATAAAAGTCTATATCATTATGGTATGCTAGGCATCAGGGGTAACAAAAGTGAAATTTCTGAAATCTCTCTAGGTTGAAGGAGATGTGCTACAACTACGTTGGAATTGAAGGAGAAGAAGAGCTGTACGACGTCTTTAAGAGCAAGACAACTCTGGAGAAATTCTTGTGTAAGGAGTCCAACGGACCCTGTCACCCCAAGAACAAGAAAACCAAGAAAGTGGAGGAAGAGAAAGAAAAGGAAGAATTGTGACAACATCGTCATCATCATCTGGTGTTTCTCTTTTCTGTAGAAGTGCCTGTCATGCTTAAATTCCAATTTTCCCACCAAAAAGAGACAAATTTATTAATGTACATCATCATTAATCATCCATGTACCTAAGATAGAGATCATGTGTTATACTTTGATGGTTTTGTTTATTCATGATACATTATAACACTGAGCTCTTAAGTACAGTATTTATGGGTTCACCACAAAGTGGTGAAACCATATTGCTTTTTCTCATGATTCTCCTCCTTCTTCTTCTCCTCCTGCCATTTCTTTAAATGGATTCAGCTTCTTCATTTTGAGGCCTAAGGACCTGAAATTTGGTATGGAGGTACAGTAGGCAAATACCCCCAGGCGTTTTTTAATTTTTGTGATACAGGCTTTTAGAATGGTTTTATTTGAGTTTTTTGGCTGTGTTATAGCAAATGTATTACTGAGTTAGTGTGCAGTGTTACCACATTTGGGCATGAGTCATCACAATGGAATGCAGGGCATCAACCAATAGGCATGCAGCTTTCCTCTATTCTCCTTGCTGATTGGCTGTTGGAATTTAACAGGCTTAACTTAATTAATACCTGCACAGAGCCATTCCATACTGACAGTAGGTCTGTATTCAAGTGTTTTGGTAGGTATTTTAAGCTTTCCTGCTCCAGCATTGGAATGCGGGGCATGAACGCTTCTTTTTTCTTGAAAATCAACAGTTTGCATTATGCAATTAAAAATCCTAACCAATAATGTAGGGAATAGCTATCCAACTGTTGTAGTCTTAGTTGTATGTTACTTCATACTATAGTTATATCAATGTAAAGCATTGTTTTCCCTTGTGTTTCTCATTCTTTCCCTGCCATGTCGTAAAATGTGGTGAAGCCATTGCTGTATTTGCTCCAAAGCAAATGTCGGCCTTTCTAGTTAACCAGGGTTTTATGTGGAGGATGTGGAAAACAAATTACTTTTGCCATAGTAAACCAATGCAAATGAGATAAAATTATGTAAGAGACAGAAATAAATGTGTTAGGTGAGAAAGACTTATTTGGTGCAAGTACAAATGTATAAGGACATAGACATTCCAATAGGCAGTTGTGTCAAAAATTTGAAATACTTATAGTGGAAATTTGTAAATTTTGAATAATGAAGTCAGACAAATGCCAAATTCAGGGGGCAGACTCAGTGTCAAAACGTGCAATCAATTAAGTAAGTGTGTTGTATACCTTTTATATGCTTTAATATGGAGAGGAATATTAGCCACTAAATAATGTCTTAAACAGAATAAATTGGGAACATTTTTTGGACACCATACACCAAACTGCAGTAACTTTATGCAAGGAGGAAATTAGTTGCCTCCTTGGTATGTGTCATAATGAGGTCTATATGATGGAATGGAAAGGTATATCTTTTGTAATGCCCTCGTCGACCTGTTATATTTGTAGTTTGCATTAGAGAAAATATGCCCAGCAGCCAGATAAATTGTCATAAGAGTCAGATGTTTCAGTAGCATTCACTATCTTCAAGCTATTTTTCATCAGTATAACGTGTTACAAGTTTGATTTTTGCGTGATAACTCATTTTAATTTAACTAACGTTACATGTAACATATGAAAAGGAATGTGTGAGCCACTGTAATGCACGTGTGTATACTTTTCTATACTATTATTCAATTTAATTTAGACAGATAGTTTCAGTGATGTCTGTTTTAGATGTTTTTATGATATGTACAATGAACCAAAGTCATTATGTAAGGAGGGTTAAATTCTTGAATTACAACTTTTTTTGAATATTAAAAGGTGACTCAAAATGGAAGGTGGCTGGTGTCTTTGAAGTTATTTCTTACAGAAAAGGTAACAAAATGGCGACTTACAGATGTGGCATTGTTTTACACCTTTAGAGGCATTTTTGGGTGGTACCCAAAAAATGTTGAGAGGCCTCACGTGGCTTACTTCTGGGCTATTTCAAATGCTTCAAGTATGAAATGATGATGAAATGGCAGCAAATTTCAATATCAGACAGATTTACTCATCCAGAATACATTTGTTTTGCACTGGGTGTTGGATGAACAAGTACTAGTAACAACTGTAATAAGTGCAAAAGACAGTTCCTCATCTTGCCGCTGGGTGACGCTGTGCAGCAAACAAAAAACTTCCCGCAACAGTTGGGATTTCGCCCTGGGAACGAGAACGCGCACTTGCTCGGACCAATCAATTCCCCGTCACGTGACCCACAGGGAGTATCATGGAGGACCCGAGTCGGGTTGGGGTGTTTGGATTTGTCTGATTTGTTTGGTGACTTTCGGGCAAATTAGCGCCTTCGAGAGTAATCGTTAGGTAGGGTCAGGTAGGGGAAGGCTGTCGTAAGTTCAGGTAGAAGTTCTAGCTGTTCAGAGTGCGGTATAAGTCCGGGAGAGGCATTTTCCCGCGAAGGACCACAGTCCAAACGTCCAGTTCCGGCTGATCGTATCACCGAAAAATTTGGCGTCGGGACCGGTCGATTCGATAGCATGTTTCCGACTCAAGGTATGTAAATATTTATATTTTCCTGTGTGTGTGAACCCAAGAGGACGTGAGGATGGTATCCAAAAAGAAGCCTGCACAGAGCTAGCCGTTATAAAACGTTTTGAGGACTGTGAAAAATCATAAACGTCACGGTCTGAGACCGCTAAACAGTGTAGCAGACTCCCTTGAGTGACAACCGTACAAACTGTCAACTGCTTCGCCCCGTGCCAACTCGCGTATCGGGACCTTTTCAACGCTTTCCAGCCAAGACCTTTGATCTAAGAACTCCGATCACACACCCTGCTAGCTTTTCGTAAAGGAAATCTGATGTAAACTTTGCCGTAACTGCTGTCCTGCCTGCCCTATACATGTCGATGGCCGCAGTGTTTAGTGCAGTTTGTTGTACCCTGGCTGTCAAATCTGTCGTCTGCCTCTGTGAAACATGTCGCCAGCTGAATATGTCGGGTCAGATCTACGTACAGAGTACAGAGTGTTCAAAGGGCTCAGAGCTCACAACACGGGGTCCACACACACTTGTGCAGACTAAAGTCGTCTGCAAATAAAAACCCGCGGGATCAGGTTTTGATTTGGGATGTGTTTCACTACAGGCAGTGGTTAGTCCACCCACTTGTGAGCGATACTCGTGTTGCCCCAGGCCAAAAATTATCTAACCTACATCCATAGGATTTTTGTCGAACAATAGCAGATAACCTTTCAAATTTTACGTTGCTACTGTATATTATGTAGTATATGATCAACTGCAAGAATTACGAGGTAGTGGGCTTGTATACAAATAATATTGTGGTGTAAATTTATGTGTGTTGTTGTAAATTACTGTATGTTGTTTTGTTTTGAGGGGGGCAGGTGTGGTCGATTTCAAAAACACTCGTATCGACTGATCTTTTCAAAATTAACACCGGTTGAATGAAGAACTAAAGAGAATAAAAAAAACTATGCAGATTGCGATAAATCTCTTAATTTTTTAGTAGTTGCAATTTGATTTTTAGTTTGTAGTTGTACTGACAGGTTTCTAGTATTAGTCTCTACCAGACTCCTTTGCAGGCTGAATAAATAGTAGAAATCGGCGTGCAGGCAAACAACTGCAGGCAAACAACTCCTCTGGCCAATGATTTCCCCCTTTGCCAAGTTCTACTATTTATTCAGCCTGCAAAGGAGTCTGTTAGAGACTATTCTAGTATAACGTTAAGCCCTTAATTTCCATAGAAGCCATTTAGTACCAGTTACATTATAATGTGATATTTGATCCCATCCTTGCTCCAACCACCACCCAACACTTATCCATAATTATAACCTACTCCAGGTGGTGTTAGTGTTTCAGGTCGTCTTTAATTTGTAGACATTGGGCACTTGGTGACATTATGAAACACAAAGGGGCAAGTAGTACAGTCTTCTGGTGCGAATTGGATGCCAGCTCATGAACCACTAACTGCAAGGCTAAAACTTAGTAAAAGGTCCAGACCTGTTACTAGTGTTAGACTGACCAGTTGCTGGCACTTGAAGTGAACCCATTACAATTGAACTAAATCTTACTCTCCTCACTTTTAAATTACAGGAGCTCTGAATGGAAAGTGACAACAGTTGGCTAGGAACAACCTCCACAGTACAGACCCAAGTCTTCCCCCTGAGTCTGACCACAGTACGTACGCCGGAGAGTTGTGCTCCCAGTGGTGTTTCCCAGTCTGACCAATCCAGTTAAAACTTTAATGACCAGAATGGGAGGGGAGCCAAGGCTGCTACGAGCTCCCTCCATCGATCGCTGTCTGGATTTTATTCCCTGTTGGATTTCCTCGGAGATCTCTTAGCTTTGCAGCAGAACGGTCGTCGGCATTTTAACTCCTGGTGCGAAGTGCTCTTCTGGAGAGAGTTGATTGATTGTGAAGAGCGGCCTAAGAGCGGAATATCGCCATGGCGTCATACGTCGACAGACAGCTACGGAAGAGCCTCATGACGCCACCCAATGAGAGGACACCACAGGTAATTACTAGTAGCACTCGTTAATGATTCCTCATCGTTAAAGGCACCCTAGGCAATTTCAGGGAAGTAGAACTTGGATTTTCAAAGTCAATTTCCTGGTTATTTTTTAAATATAGTAAGTTGATTTAACCCTATCGCATCCTGATATCTGTGAGGCAAACATGCAATGTCCCTGACAGAAAACGATTGCTTGTTTCATATTATATGGTGGTTCTAGAAATTTGTTGGTGATACCCCCAAAAATAAAAAAAATCGCATACCTTGTCTTGGGGCTATTTCAAATGCTTCAATTAGGAAATAATGACAAAAATATGCCAAGAAATGGCAGTAAATGTTAATATTAGACAGATTTCCTCATCTACGATCCAAATTATATTTTGTTTTACCGCCCTAAAATTGTATTGGATGCCTTTAATTAAGTTCCAAGTAATCTAACAGTGCCTTTCCAGAGTTCTAACTTCTTGGATTTAGGTGCTGTAAGGCCAGAGACAGTGGTGGAGAAGGATAATAGTCTCCTGTCTGGATGAGACCCACCTGTTGTGGTCTCACACAGACCTGCAGTAATGTCTGAACTGATGCACAGATCAGCTCAGATTACTTCCTGTAATGACAGGCTATAGGGGTTCGCTGGAATTTGAGATGTAGTTAGGCCTAGGGACAGGTGGTTGGCAATCCTGTACCTGTACCCGAATCACGCTCCCATTGGTTGGGGGTTTGAATCCTGTCCTACCGTTTGATTGAGTTCTGAATTATGATACACACACGGCTTGCAGGTGTCATTGTAAGTTGCAGCTGGTTGTAATGTTTGCTAGTAGTAGGCCCGTTTTTGTACTATTCTTCTTTTAGCATTAAAGTATTCTTCTCTTGATGGGATGTCAGGTTGTTCCAAGGTTCAGAAACTCTAACTCTCTTTGCCCATTGTGATATTGCCAGTTTTTATTTTTTATAAAACAGAAGAATAAATCAGAACATGGCAGCAGTCAAAACACAGTACATATTGATCAGGAAAAATATACTAGTATGTTAAGATACTGGCTGAGCAGCTTGCCAAGAGACTACAGCATGTAAGGAGAAAAATAAATAGCCCACCCATGACTTAGCTCTAACCTTGGAACTTGACCCTCTCAGTGAGATTACTTCCTGATGTATCACTGAGAATAGACTCCTACTTTGTTCCCAAGGACTGGAACCTACCAGTATTGGCTCTTTGTCAAGGTTGATGTAAAATCTAAAAGAGACACAAGAAAGTAAATATTGCCACCTACTACTAGTCAAGTGGCAAAGTTATATACACTAGTAATGGGTTTGGTAATCTGAAAAATAAATGTTTGTCCATACATTAGGGTAGGTGTTGCTTTTGGCAGGTGGAAGTCTTTTCTGACGTGTTGAGTTAGTTGGGTTCATAGGAGGTGAGCCGAATAGGAACATTCAAGTATTTCTCAAACTGGGCTGAAGTCACTGCAAAAGAATGTCGTCTTGATCCCCTTAATTATATGTCTTGCTGATCCACCTCCCTTGATAGACGTTGAGTGTTTCGGTCTGTTCTCTACCTGAAGGGCTCGAAATACTTTTTTTCTGCATGCCTGAAAATTACCTGCACCACTATATCACCAGACAAATTTTACCAGCACCACTCAGACTTACACTTAATAGTAGGTGATAACAGTCAATGTAGCAAATAAAAATCATACTCCTATGTCACCAGGTAATAAGAATTAAGATACGCCAAAAAAAAAAAACAGTTGCTCCTACATGATATGCGATACCTACATGTATACATAATACCAGTACACATGGACCAGTGCAGGTTAGGTGCAGGTAGATATCAGAAATACGTGCACAGCTCCTATTTTACCTGCACTAAGGTGCATATGCATCCAGTATTTCGAGCCCTGCTACCTGCAATGGCTACCTGTACAGTACACTACATAGACACAATGAATAATGGTTCCTATAGCCAGAAGATATCCTCCCAGACAGCAAGTGGTTGTCAGTTTTAAATTACAGGAGGATGTGTTGTTTATTTGAAAGGTCTGGCAGGGTTACATAGATCAGACCAGCCAGAGGTAACAGACACCAGGATGGATGGACCACTGCTTTTAACTGAATTAGCTGGCTGTATGGTCTACCAGTGTTGCAGCTCTTTCTCAGTCCTTTGCCAAGGTTTTATAGTATTACATACTGGTAGTTACAGTTGTCTAGCTAGCCTGAATTTTTTTTGTCATCTCAATTTTGTTTGATGTACCTGTAATATCATGTCAAGCACCACTGGAAAATTTGGAACTTTTGACCCCCAGAAAGACCATTTCCTGCATTTTGAGGGGCAAATTTTGCTGGCAGACAAAGTATAGTATCTCTATCCGTATCTTCACACACCAATTTTTGTCTGTCAAAGATGACAGATTAGGTGAAATATTTGCCCGTCATGAGAGGCAAAATTCGGTCAAATGACGGAAAGACAGACACTGGCTAGAACACTGGCATACAATAACGCCAGGTAAGGTACCAGACAGACAACTGTTTGGCATAACTTGAATATATGATCACCCTGTAACTGTACACCATTGGTCGGTTTTCCCGCCATTTTGAGTGTTTTTGTTTAGGGTTGCCTGGAGGCAGTTGGATAGGTCAGCTGGAAAGGTCACGGAACCCCACAGGTGAAAGGTCGTCTACAAAAAGGGGTTATATTCCCATGGCCTGCTATTCAGAGACAAAACACTTCCACCAAAATACAGGCTGTTCACAATAGTAATTGATAGTTTCGCGCATTGTTATGTGTTATCTTCTTTTCTGGTCTTCGAAATGTTGGAAAAATTACAGGGAGGATATGTACTTTTAATCCCTTTCATTAGAAGCACACAGTGGCCTCTCTGTTCTTGGTAGCCTTATTTAGTTAAACTCTGCTCTAATGATATTATTTCAGGTAGTATTAGAAAAAAAAGATGAAAGGAGCCTGAAACAGCAAGCTTCATCTGATTGGTTTTTAGGCATTTTCTAAGTTCAGTGGTAGAAATACTTTTTTCAGTGTTCTACAATATTGCAGAATGTCAAAATTTTGTACTGCAATTTGGAAATATACTTGTACTTTCTGCCATTATCCTTTGGCCTTAACCACGGAGGCCAACACCATTGAGTTCCTAGCCTGATTTTTTCAGTCTGCAAAATTGCAATTTTTCTGCAATATTGAAAATGTCTCCACAAAATCCAGACTGCAGAGGGAAATTTCTAACAGTTAAAAGTATATCATCATCATCTGATGGAACCCTTACATTTTGAGCAGTTGAAATTTTTCTCTGTTCAGATAACAAGGATTTTTATCACGATCATCTACTTCTTTGATTATGTTCTTTCAAGTCATCTTTGTCGTATGAATTGTTAAATGTGAACTGTGGATCTTCATTTGATGAATAATGTAGTAGAAATGTAAAAATAGCCTATGAATATCTTCATGTTTGACTTGTAAATTGAAAATAGACGCAAAAGAAAACTCACACATTGTGTCCAAACACGTCCAGTGACCCATTTAAAAACTGGTGTTGAAAAATTTATGAGGCAGAAAAGTGGTGTCCAGTGTGAGTAGATTTGTCTGGAGGTGTGAAGTCAACTGTCATAAATCAGCTGATGTCTGTGTGTGTTTGTGTCAGGTGGTTGTCTACATTATTAACTCTTACTGTGCAATAATAATACAGGGCTCAAAATACTGGGTGCAGATGCACCTTAGTGCAGGTAAAATTGGAGCTGTGCAGGTATTTCTGATGTCTACCCAGAGTTCGAAATACAAAGGTGCAATGTGCAAATTGCACGTAATTTTCAAGATTTGCACCTAAGTAAAAATATTTTGAATGTGCAATTTTGCACCTGGAAAATACCGATATATCATGTTTGCACTGCGTATCTCCGAAGTTTCTTGCTATGTCGACATCGCGCTGGGCGCATGGCAGCCATATTGTTTTCCTTACTGAACATCCTGGGAACAAGCTGCTCTCGTCCCCAGGTGAAGACGCGAAGGCACTACGTAATGATTTACCAAATATGGCAAGACGCGAAGGCCTACGTAGCTGATTTACCAAATATGGTGAGACCCGCGAAACTTGTTGCCCGATGTGGGACGAAGTCCTTCGGCAGAGTAATTTCGGCTTTTTCGTCCAATTTTCGGTGAAATTCGGTGAAAAACAGAGTTTTCGGATTTCCCAGCATTCAGTGCTACCCAGGAAATTTGTAAAGCATGAAGAAGGGCCCATGAAGAAGGGGTCGATTTTCAAGTTCTTTTCACGGGCCCAGCCGGCATCAGAGGCTGGTGCAGCCGGTGGCGGTGGACCAGAGGCTGGTGCAGCCGGGGACGGTGGATCGGGAGATGCCACCGGGTCCACCGTCTCCGAGGATCCCGCGGCCGCGGCCGATGTTGACGACGCGCCCCTAGAGGAGGGGGAGGGGAGCGCCAAGAAGCAAAAATTTACGTTGTTTTTTTCTAAGCAGTATTTTTTCCTTATATCATGCACGATATTCAAGGTAAAAAAATATGCAAAATAAATGAAATTTATTGCTCGCATACTGTTGGTAAATTTTCTTTATGTGCCGTATAAGATGTGGAAGTTCCAACTGTAGTGTTCGTGACATGATACCCCGGTATGACGAGTGAGAGGGCCGGAAGTCACTAGCGGCGTCCTTTGAAGCTAATGCCGACAAATTTTTTTGTGTGTTCTTTTTTTTATATAAACACAGATGATACTAGCATTGTTCATGTTTTGTTTGGTCCCTTCTTTTTAATGTATACTAAAACTTCTATATGCAGTGGCAGGCTAAGAAGGTTAATACACAGTAAAACAGTTGCAAACCTAAAGATGCAAGGCTAAATATAATTTTGCACATAAATTTTTCAAATTGCACCTAAAAATTTTGCCAATGTGCAATTTTGCACGTACCTGAAAAAAAGTATTTCGAACACTGCTACCTGTACCTAACCTTCACTGGTCCATGTACTGGGTTACGGTATATGCAGG